GCGCAGCCCCTCAAGCTTGTCTGCCGGCGCTCTTGGTGCTCTATATCGCCCCTCGCTGTCCGTCTAGATCCGTTGTGCCTGGTGCTCGACGCTCCTTGTCGTCCTCGTCACGAAGTGCAACGAATGGGAGAGGATCATAGGTTGCGTCTGGGCCTCGCGATGACGCAGATGCACCAGCCCGGGGCCCGACGGGCTGCGATCGGTGACTTTCGAATCGGACGCAAGCCGCTGCCCGTGGGATGGCCACAGCTGGGGCAACCGGCCCCGGACTAGAGTGTTGGGCGAATCTATGGGGCAGTGACAATTGCGGGAGAAGCAAAAAGGAAGCGACGGATCGCCGCCTGGCGCACGGACCACCTCCCGGACACGTGCACACGAGAATGCGGGTGAATTTGACACTTCTCCGAGGCGCTGCGCACTGCGCAGGTCCCCACCGCTGCACGGCCCCGAGTTGCGACAAGCACTACTAGTATGAGCAGCCGGACAGCGTCTGCAAACCACCGGGGGAGAGTCTGGGCGTGGGTCGGACGCAGACCAGCCCGTTGCTTGTCAGTGGGTCCGCCCCGTCGTCGTCATCCGGCATCGGAGTGCGGTCTCGACGTGGAAAGACGGGCCGGGGATGCCCGCATGCGTGTTGCTTTGTACCGCATCTCGCGCGCCCGTGTCTGCCTTCACATCATGCCCGCTCTGCGTCAGCGCCACACTTCGCTGATCGCGGGCGTGCCTCGCCCTTGAGCCGTACCGCCCGCGTCCGCTGCCCGGACGCGTCCTCCTCACAGGCCAGCCGCTTCAGTAAAAGGGTGCCGGCGAGCGGTTACGTATACTCGGGCCGAGACACGACTGGCGCAACTTCGGCCGAGCCAGTACCCGGGCGGTACCGCCGGGCCGCCTGTGAAGGAAAAAGGCGCGCGTTGGTAGTGATGGCCTGGATCCGGATACATACCCCTAGCTAGCGGAGTCAGGCAGGAGACTCGGACACAAGAATGCACCGGGATGCTGGCATGTCACTGGCGGAGGCCGACGTTGTTGGGCGTCGGACTTGGAGCCGGTCGCATTCGGGCTATCGATTGTCCGAGATAACCCGGCTCTGGGAAGTCGGGCCAACAGCCAAACCATGGGCTCGCCGCCGTGACACCGTCGGGGTGATAAGCTGCGGCTGACTGGTGGTCGCCGGCGCCGCCGATAAAGGGAAGTATGACAATCCTTGTCCATGTCTTTCCGTGTCAATAAGCTTGGCTGGCATGGCAGCTGGCGACGTTAGGACATGTCGAAAATGGCCGGGAACCCAAAGTCAGATTCCCCGAAACTGGATTGCCTGATGGGAAGATTGTAGCACAGATGAAGGCAGTGAGGATGAGAACACATACGACAGAAGCTTTCTTCGGAAGTCGGCGCCGGTCGGAGTTGACGTATAGACTGAAAGAGCGGCCGATGATCCGGCGACGAGTCGAGATGGATAGGGAAAGTGTTTGTCAACAGTTTAATAGACTCGGACTTTGAGCAAGTTTCACCAAGACACATACGCGTGACCAGGCGTTAGAGCGTGAATGCCAGCCGAGGGTTCTAGGTCCAGCCTACTGCTAAGCCACTTCCAAGAAGTTTACAATACTCAGGTGTCAGCCGTCGGGAGACAAAATCAGCACCCGTGTACTCACAGATAAGGTTTGCAGCGGCCAAGAATGGCCGCGCCATACATGAGAGATTGTGTTGCTCGATGTGCTCCCGCCACTGAGAACATCTGTCAGCCAGGAATAGTGATGGTTCTCCGAAGGGCTTCGGTCAAAACTAGGCAGCGGGTGGAACATTGAGTTGGATGGTCTCGATAGGAAGGCCAGTCGTGGTAAGTTCCTCTGGCAACGACTGTCTTCACAGAAGCTATAACGTGGTGTCAGTCTCGCCTTTGCCATTTTATTATTTCTGCAGACTCACACAAACAAATTGTTTGATCCCGCTTCATGCTGGCAGGATCGGGACTACAAGATGGAATGAGAAGCGGAGAAGAGCCACGGAGTTTGGCGCACCAGAATGTTCGGCATTCTGACTCTGTTCCTGGGTTCCCACTTGTCAGATACCGTGAGTGCGAGCTGTCAAGTGGCGTATTTTGAGAGAGTGTTGCCCAGGCGGCGGCTTCGGACTAATACCCGAGTTTTCGGTCTCTGTCCGCCGACATACGGTAGAGAAGAGAACTCACAACAACTGCCGAGCCGACTTCTAGACTTCTGGTCGAGGCCGCATCCACACACACTATGAGCCACCTGCGACTCCGAGCAAGCAAGGTTGGGTTGTCAGGTTTTGAAAGACTCCAGGAGGGGGAGCAAAGGAGGACGGACAGTCGATCTGATGTTTGCTGCGAGCCGTCGAGAAGGAACTTGCAGTTATCGGCAGCAAGGGTTTTGAAAACAACTGGGAAGAGCGTTTGGCAGGCGGCAGAGTGTTGGTACTGTTCAGTACCAGGCCCGCGTCGCCCAGTTTGCAAAGCCTCGGAGTCGAGGATGAGGGTCAGGAACAACCCATAGCCGATGATGCTGATCTGTGACCATCGTCACAGATCGTCACATTCCGGATCATCGGACACGTGGCGCCCTTTTTGCTGCAGTCAACCACCACCAGCGCTGGGCCATTCGACTTCCGAGTTGTGCTCGCCGAGTACCTGTGAAGCTGTCTTCATATAATCCAGGTGTCTCGGACCCCTTGTTGCCACTGACACCGTGAGTACATTGCATCCCGCAGAACATCCGGCCCCCATGGGACTCACAATCCTATGTCATTTTCCAAGCACTTGCACCTCAAATCACGTCGTCATCATCCTAAATCTCTTCTCATTCGCATGCCCGGCCGACAAACAGACCTCCATCCAACCGCGACCCGGCTCTCGAGCTCGTCATTCACCGTCGGGGGCGAAACAACCTTCAGGCTCTCAGCCAACTCACACTTCAGCTTCTCCTCAAGGTTCTCTCAGGCTGCGCGAAGCCATCCCCGCTGCCCAATGACGCATCTGCTCGACAGCTGATCGCTCTGTGCTCTCTGTATGTCCTGTCCATTACGCAAGACACTCAAGCATCCCCACGGGAAGACATCTCCGCTGCAGCGCAGCCCAATGATGCACCCGCGCGAACAAGTTCCAACCAGCTGACCGCTTTGGCGGTTTCCCTCCCCATGTCCTGTCCATTGAGGAGGAATGCCGACACGACAAGCGCAACGGCGACGTCATGGATGACGACGCTGCGCCAGCTTCGTCGCTGTGGTATGGTTACCGCCCATTCGAAACAAATGATTACTGATGTGCAAAAGGAGGCGACGGCGAGCTTGCAATAGCTTCAAGGGGACCCCCCCCTCTCTCTTCAATATCCTCCTGCAGAGTGAAATAAACCCCCTAGTTGACGACTTGCCTTTCGGTCCGTCTTCCGATCGCTGCCTTCACTGTTCTCCCAGGCTCCCGGCGGCCTGCGTCTCGCAGCACAATGTCATGTCAAACGGCTCCACAAACGCACACGCGCGTGCGCTTATTGGCTACAGCGCACAGCTCGCCCACCAGAATCTGATGTTTTCCTGATTGCTTCAGCGCGCGCCCAGGCCAGACGCATGACATCCCTCTTCCGGTCTGCCCTGATGAACTCAGCTCGGCGTCAAACAATATCTTATGTACTGAACTACAGACAGAACGGATGCTACAGTTTTCAAAAGTAGTCTGACTGACATTCAGTTCATGCGTCTAGCAATTTCGACTCTCAAGCAACAACTTGAAGTCGACACACTCTCTGCGCAGCATGCGAGGTCAAACAAGCGCACAAAAACAGAATTCTTGTGAATTGCTATGTACCCGCACCCGTTCCGAACAAGCACCATACGACCGTGCTGTCAAAAATCGTGAGAGCACTGCAAGATTGCGCAGATTCAAGTTCAAGTTCATCGCATAATGGTTCCAACCTAGACCTGCATCCTGGCGTCAGAAGCAAATCCCCCTGAAGCTTGGGATGCCTGCGCATGCCCCGAATGCGAGTTCAATCAAGCTGAACAAACACCGAGGTTCCTCTATGCTCATTTGTTATTCGTCGACAGCGCCAATTGTGTGTCTGCAAGACAACGCCGCGCCAGGTAAACAAGTCGGGAGAGAGAAATAACAAAAACTGTAGCGCTGTAATCTTCACCGGTTTGATATGAATCGCGCCCGCTTTGAACGGACGATGCCAGGGCCCAGTGGACACCGGCACCCACGACCAGGCTCGCAGCTCAGTGACCCCTCAGCTTTCGCTACGCCAAGTCGCAAAACGGCAAACAACTCTATATTCACTACTAGCCGAACGCACAGCGAATCAGCGATAGTCAGTTACAACAAGCTAGACTAAGCTATGCATATGCGCACACTGACAACCGGCTGGCCAATCGCTGGCACCGTCTAGTTGCCGTGTATTCAAGCAAGTAAACACGTCAGAGGCTGAGGACGAAATAAAAATACATATCCGGTCGCGATTCGACCAATCGCAGCGCCCGCTCCGAACGGACGGTGGGCCCGGGGCCACCGACGACCATGCGAGCGGCTAGCACCCCCACCTACAGCGCTGGTAAGTATGGTATAATATCTGTAATGATCTGTATATGGCCAGCACCGCAGTAATCGAATGAAAAATTCAGTGGATCCCTGCATATATCATATATGTGCTGCTGCGGCGAACGGTCAGCGTCACGCGTACGGTCCCTCTCCAAGTTCAAACCAGACACCCACTGGCAGTTGCGCCGAGCTATCAATCGCTGACCCACCAGCATCCATCTCGCGCTCTACGCCAACCCGGCCCACGGCCCACCATACTCAACTTGAAATGCCCCCAAAGTCGCAAATCAACTCTATATTCGCCAGCTACCTATACGCACTCTATCTACGTGTCCGTGGCGGTCTTTCTCGTGTATGCATCTGTATCGTACAAGAACGAAGCGAAGCGCGAAAAGTGGGGGGTGGTACACAGTGGGGTGGGGGATATAACAATAACACACCGGAGGGGGATTTACACAGCAAAATGCGCATAGAAGGGGAGCCAAAGGAAGGTATGCGGGTCAGTCAGTGGCCTTGGCCTTTTTTTCGTCGTCATCATCTTCATCATCTTCGTCATCATGTCGCCGCCTACCCCGCGCCCGCGAAGCACCACTGCTGCACGAACGCGCGGTACACGCTGCTGCTCGTCTCCGCGCCCGTCGGCGGGCCGCGCACCTCCTGGTCCTTCTCCTCCCCGCTCTCCCCCCGCGCCGTCGCCCGCCTCGAGCAGCCCCGCGAGCCCGCGCGCGCCGAGCGGCGACGTCGGCGGCGTCTCCTCCTCCCTTCGCTCCGCCAGCAGCGAATTGCCATCGCCCTCGCGGTCCGAGTCCGACTCGTCCTCCGGCACCTCGGTGACAACCACCTCCGGCGTCGTCGCGGTCCGGCCCCACGGCCAGTACAGCCCAACCCCGGCCTGGGCATTCGCAGCCGGCAGGGGCTCGTTGATCACCAGGGGCGACAGCCGCGGCGGGCTCGACTGCTCACGTGGCGGACTCGAGTGCACGAACCCCGCCCACGAACTCGGCCGCGGCGCCGGGGCCGCATAGTTCCGCAGACTCAGTCGGCCGAGTTTCGCCGCGAGCGCCTGCGCGTGCGCTGTCCGTGGCGGCGGGGGCGGGGGCACCGGCCCAGCCACCGGGAGGGTAGTCAGTGGGGGCTGTAACGGCGAGAGTGTCTGCGGCGACGAGCGCGGGAACGGGATCGTCGACGTCGGGACAGAAGGCGGCGCCGATGTAGGCGGCGGACCGGGCGCGGGAGACGTGGTGGTTGCAGGGGCCGGCGCAGGGGTGCTCTCCGAGCGGAACCCCACGCGATAGTTCCGCCCCCCGTTGTTATCCCACCACTCCCCCGGGCCAGCCGCGCCCGTGCCCAGCCACCGTCTCTCCCCTTCCTTCTCCCTCGGCTCCTCCGGATCTACCACGCGTCAGCTCAACTTCGGTTATATCCACAAAGCAGGAAGACCCACCACACCACACATACGGCGCCGCCCCGCCCTCCGCGACCCACGGCACGCAGAAGCGCGCCACCATCTCGAGCTCGCGGCCCACGAGCCCGCGGCCCTTCTGCACGTGCGCGTAGTCCGTCAGGCGTATCGAGAAGCCGAAGCGGTCCCACCCCGGCCCGGGGTCGCCGGACGGCGTGGATGCAAGGTACTTGGCGGCCACCTCGCTCGTGGTGAGCCACCCGTCGAGCGTGAAGCGCACGAACACGTGCTTCTCGAACGCGGCGTTGCGCACGAGGAGCGTGCCGCGCAGGTGGAGCTCGCCGGGGGGCGTCTGGGCCTTGTGAGCGCCCGAAACCGGAGAGAAAGAAACAACATACCTCCAACGTGACGCTCTCCAGCACAACCATGCTCGCGCCGTCCCTCGCCCGCGGGATCCCCGGCGCGTCCACAACATACCTCCACTCCTCCGCTTTCTCTCCCTCCGCCATCCTCGGACTCGGGTTCAACGGGCTCGAGACCGTCCTTCTCCCACCCTCCCTTCCCGCCGCAGCCGCCGCCGCGCTCGACACCCACCTTACCCCGCTGTCCGTCTCAGTTTCGGTCTCCGTCTCGTCCTCCGCGCCGAGCGGGAAGCTCACGCTCGCGGGCCGTGCCGTCCGCTTGAACACGCGCACGGTCTCGAGCCCGTCGTCCGGCGGCGGGAAGTGCACCGCCTTCGGGGTGCTCGGGCTCTCGACGTACTCGCCTTCCAGGCCAAGGGCGGCAGCGAACGCGGCGGGGTCGTGCTCCTCCTCGGCCTCCTCCGGCGTGCCCGTGCCCGAGGGGGACAGCGCGGGCGTGGACGGCGCCGAGCGGGCCCGCAGATGGTGGGAAGGGACATGGGGTGCGCTGCGACTCGACTTCAGGCTCGACTTGAGCGGCTTCCCGTTGGCCAGCAATATGACCGGCTGGCTGCTTGCGCGCCCGGGCAGCGCGGGGCGGACCGGGATTGGCGGGGTGGTGGGCGCCGGGGAGCCGGAGCGCGGGAAGGGCACACCGATGAACGACGAGTTGGGCGAGCGCTGCGGCGAGCGCGGGGGGCGAGGCCTTGGCGCCCAAAAACGAAGGCAGCTGGCGCAGTCTGAGCGGCGGGGGGGGGGCCGTCCTCCTCGTCCGTCTCCCTCCCCTTTGCTGGCTGTGCCCAGGCTGGCATCGCCGTCGTCGACATCACCGGCTGCTCGTCGCTGCTGGACGAGCTCCCGTCCTCGTCGTCCGCCCGAAAGTGGAATCGTTTCGCTGAAGTGGGCGGGGTGCGCCGCGGGAGGACGCCGAGGCTGCTGAACGCGCCGGGGCCCCTTGTCTCCTGGTCGAACGTGTACGAGCGGCGGTGGCCCGGGCGGCCGTGGGCGTGGTGGGCATGGGCGGGTGTAGGCGGGAGGGGCGCAGCGACGCCAGCGACGGGGACACTGTAGGGCATCCAGTATCGTTATCGCAAGCTGTGGAGCAACTCTAGCCAGCGTCAGCAGTGACGTCAACCACGCAGCTTGCAGGCGCACCTGTATCCTCCTCGTCGGGCGTCGGCGCAGGAGGAGGGGGTGGGTGGTGGTGGAGCGAAGCCTTTACATAAAACCGTTCGGTCCATCGTCGTGGAAGAAAAAACTTCCTGAGGCTGTTTGGGAACCCGCCTCGGCCCTCGGCCCTCGGCCCTCGGCGCCGCATGCCGGATCCCTATCAGTGCTTCTTTTTTATCAACCACCACCACTCCGCTCTCTGTCGTGCGTAGACCGAACGCCGCGCTGAACTCAAGGGATATGCGAGCACCGCAGCAGCCACGTGCACCGCACTCCGCCCTCGAGCTCGCTGTTGGCCGCCACCGTGGCTTGCGAGGAGAACGGTGCAGCGGGCCGGATCCAACTCGCGCCTTGCTTCCGCCGGAGATGCATGGAATGTGGAAGGACCGCTGTCTCCTCCGCCACTTGCGACGCGCCAGCGCGGCCCGCTCCGCGCCACACCGCCAACTTGAAATGCACTCTCGTTCGTCAGCATCCTAGGCGACAACAATGCCACACGCAACATCTAGGGTCTCCGGGGTCATTCTTCGCCAAAACACGGCCTCTCGCCGCTGAATCGGCGTGGCAATCGGCCAGCGCACGGCTGCCGTCTACACTTACCCGGAACACCTCTCGCGCGCGCTCTGACGTCCGAAGCTGGTCAGCAAACTTGGAAACAACCACGAAAACTTGAAGACACTCACCAGGGACACGAATACACAAGTTGCAGCCAGCCTGTGCTGCGAACTCGCTCAGCAAGCGCCGCCTCCAGCGCGGGGTGGGCACGCTGCTCACGCGAGCCACTCGTCAGCGCCGATTAGGACTCAAGGCTGGCGCCAATGCCAAGGCCTGCTTCTGGGCAGTCGTCCGCGTCAGAAGAGACGCGCGGGACCGGCGTCTTTCGGCGCTCTGCGCGAGATCGGTGAGCGCCGAGCTCATCTGTTGCTTGTTCAGCTGAAGCCCTCCAACTCCCGAGAAAAACGGGCCGACGACTGGGCTTGCGCTGCCCGCTGTTGCGCCAGACTCGAAGCCGGCGGGCCGAATTCTCGCGCGTCCGGCTTGGAGCCTCCAGGGTGACAAGGGGCAAGGTACCCCTCGGTCTCCAGCGAGCTTCAAGCGGAACGACCGCGCGCTGGGGTCTGCGCGGCCTGGCCGGCCTTGTGTCGAGGCCCGGGCCGTTCGCGGCCGTCTCCCGTCCGTTCCCCACGATATCGCGCCCGCGAGTGGCGTACACTTCCACGGAGTTTCGGGCGAAACGACGCAGTCGTTATCGAGCACGCCGCGTGCGGGGGCAGCTCCAGGGTGAGTGGATTCGCCTCAAGTCAAGTGCTATTCGCGTCATGGCGCATCTTGTGCGTCACTCCTCCACATCTTCGGCCCGCGTCTCGCCACTGTGTCGAGGCTCAGCCCGTGCCATTCTTTCTGGATTTCCTTGGAATTTCTCGGGCAACATCCCTGGCAACAAGACTCCACGCCACTTTGAACAACTTGAATTCGGTGTGCGCCACTGCGCCAGTCGGCTCACGCGGCTGGTTACGGGCAGCGTCATCCCCAGCCGTTTTGGCGCCGCTCTGCCACATGAGCGTGTCGTTGCTGTTAAGGGCATTCTCTGCGAGAGCGGTAAGCGCTGGGTTGCTCGTTTCCGCTGATGCTTTCGGCAGACAGAGGGGTAATATCCCCCTGCTTATCCAACCCTGTTTCGCTCGGAATCGCGCGCGCGAGTAGTGACGCGATGCACGCCCCCGTCCGATCAGTTCAGTTCATCATGGTGGCTCACCTCGTTTCAAAACCACAACGGCACTGCGCCTCGAACTACCTCATCACCTCCCTCGGGCGCGGAAAGTGTGCCGTGCGGGTGGTCGTTGGTGCATGCCCATTGCTCGTTGTCCCCATCTTGCTGACGGGCTCAGGCTGTGCCGTGTCGATATCGAGGGCGATTCCGCGTGGGAGGGTTGATGCACGTTCTTCTTTCTCTGGATGTGCTTGCTGACTGTCCACCAGCGTGTGCTTGTTGACCGTTTTATATTTCCGCCTCAAGCCTTGTAGAAACGTGAGTTTGCCGCCATCCTTGTTGTTGTCCTCACACCTTGTGGTTGCCTGTCGCAGCTCGACTTGTTTCTCGGACGGGGCCAAGTCCGCCAGTGCGCTCGCCATCGCCATTCGCTCAGCCCCAAATGTGCAAGCCGTTGTCGACCTGCCAGCATTGGTCGTCACCTTCACGGTCTTCGCTGCCATCCTTCACCTTCACGTCTGCAGCGTCGCCATCACCAGCTCTTCCATCCCCAAACGACGTGCAAGTGACGGCAAGCGGGTTTGGTGTGTGAGGATACACAACAATTTGTAGTTGACTACTTATGCAAGTCATTTGGTGAAGTTTCAACTTTGTCACAAATATTAACTGCCAGCGTAGTTTGTAGTAAAACTCTGTAGATTTGTGATCAACTATATTTCAGTTGAAGACCAGTTTGTAGGCATTTGGAGTACCTTCCTAATGAACTCACCAAGATGTGCTGCTAATACTGGTTGAGCTAAGCCAGCCCTAAAGTGGTTTTGTAAGCCAGCAGTGACAATTTTTTGAGGATCCAAACTGTGAAATTACTCAAAGAATGAAGCTCTATAACCTAAGCCAAAATGAAGTCATTTGGTTAACTTTCACTTTTGTAATGTATATTAACTGCCAGAGTGTTTTGTAGTAAAACTTGATGGTTTTGTAGTCAACTAGTTTTCAGTTGAAAGCCAAGTTGTAGAGCCCCAAAATACCTCTCTAATGATATCTGAACCGTTTAAAACGGATGAGAAACCACTGAGATATAGCGCTAATGCTCTTTTGAGCCAAGCCGGCCCTAAAGTAACCAATTCTCAAAAGAGTCGATGTTTCGCGAGTATTTCACGTTTTGTGAGCCAACCAGAAGAAACTTTGTATTAGTTCAAACTGAAGACTTGTTTAACTTTTGAAGCTCTACAAGCTTGTGCAATATGAAGTTATTTGGTCAAGTTGAAATTAACTGCCAGAGTATGTTGTAGTGAAACTTGGTAGTTTTGTAGTCAACTAGATTTCAGTTGAAGACCAGTTTGTAGTCCTTTCAAATACCTCTCTAATGATATATAAAGCATCCTGAACGGATGAAAACCCATCAAGTTATAACGCTAATACTGTTTTGAACCAGGCCGGCCCTAAAGTAAGTGAATCACAAAAGACTCGATGTTTCGCAAGTATTTTGCATTTTGCGGGACAACCATTAGAAATTTTGAATAGGTCTAAACTAAATACTTGCTCAACTATTGAAGCTCTACAACCTTGCCAAATATCAAGTCATTTAGTTGACTTTGAGTTTTAAAGTCAATTACTTGTAGTCAAACTTAGTAGTTTTGTAGTCAACTATGTCAGAGTTGAAACCAAGATACCTATCCAACCATATATAACTTGTAGTGACCAGACCAGAAACTATCAAGCAAAGTCACTAACAATTTGGTGTCTAATTTGTATTGTCTAATAAAAGTCTGTGGTTTTGTATTCAATCATATTTGCATTGAAGACCAGTTTGTAGGCCTACCAAATACCTTTCTGCTCATATATAACATGTTAGGAATGGATAAGAAACCATTGAGATATGACCCTAACACTGCTTTGAAAACTCGGGGTTGGGTCAATAATTTGCATTTTCTGACCCAACCATTAACTTTCAAGCTTAAGTCAAAACTGAATAGTAACATGTATTAAGGGTCCCTACAATCTGGTAACATTTATTTGAAAGTTTGTGTAAAGTTATTACAAAGTTGTTATGAAGTCAGTTAGAGTTTGTTACTTCATTCAGTTAGAAGTCAATAGAAGAAAGTAGGGTTAGGGTTAGCTCAGTAAACTCGGTCAATCTAGTTAGTTACTTAGTTCATTCAGTCAGTCATTCATTCAGTCAGTTAGTTCAGTTCATTCAGTTTAGTTAGTCTGTTACTTCAGTCAGTCTTTAGGGCCAGCATTAGATATTATTATATATATATAAGTCTTTTATGGAGCCGGCCCTTAAGTAAGCAGCTGGCCCTAAAGTATAGCACAAATTAAGAAAGACTGGCCCTAAAGTACCAGCTAACCAAAAAAAATGGTTATTTTGCCTAGCAGATACCCAACACACAAAGAAAGTATATGGGAAGTGCACTCCCCCTTTCTCTATGCTCCACTAAGCAATAACAGGACAACCTAATCCTGCACACACTTCACACTTACCCCACAGGCGGCCTTTCCTCCAGGGTGCATGCTCCATGTGCTTAAAAGAAAAGTAACAAACAAAGGAAAGGGCAGTTATTTCACTAATGGCAAACAATGCCCATACAGCCAGTCACCTTCAGCCGCTCTGCTAGCATTTCAAGCTCACCCTTGAGCTGCTGGTCTTCTTCAGACTGAGTAGGAGTTAGTTTCGCGTGTCTGCAATAATCAGGACACGCACTAATTCTTCCCCTTCCGTCTCCCCATCTTTCTTCTTGTCTTTGCTAAGCTTAGACGAGCCCTCCTCCTTGTCCTTCTTCTTAGGATCCTCGGATGTCACAGGAATAGCGAATTCGGTAGGATTGCTGGGCATTGCAAGGTCATCGAAAGATTGTCGTGGTAAGGAGCGCCTGTTGGCGTAAAACGCGGGTGTCTACCACCGCGACTTTCGGTAACGAGTTGGTTGGAATGAGAAGAGTCAGGTGATGAGTCATCACAAAATCTCAGCGATGTGGTACCCAGGAACGTTAATTCACGGACTGAAGCAGAACAGATCTTTCATTTCTATTCACCAACTCATTGCAAGCAAAGTACAGCTCTTCGTGGATACCGTTTTTGTAACTACATGCGCCAGATAGACTTTATTTTGGGAAATTTCACTCAGCCCGAGAACATCACACAACACAATACCACCCAAATATTCTCCATAGCCGTCAGCAGAATCGATGGTGGTGCCCACGCTTCCTCGATTGCGTTGAAAGAGACTGCGGGCTCCGATACAAGGCCTTCGGAAATTTGAGATACTTCGTGGTTCCCATCGTCCACCAATTCAAGTTCCTGGGGTTGACATGAGCGAGGAATCGGAATGCTAATGAGCCTGGTGCTAACCACATG